AGATAAAAGACGTTCAGGTTAATGCAATATTGTATCGGCTGTTGAGTCTACAAAAAAGGATGAGTTAACAAAGGTGGACAATCATCAAAGCAGTATTGCTGCCATCATCTCTAATAATATGTACACATGTCTGTCTAAACGTGTTGTTAATATGCATTATAAAAACATACCCAAACCAACGCAAACGTATGGATGCAACTTATTGCAGTTTTACAAATTTTTTTTATGATATTTCTGAATTCATTTGTAGTCTATCTCGTCATTACAGAATATTGTACATACCTTTTATTATATGAGCTCTTTCTTTATGCCTTTCCCTCAAAAGCTAGTGGTAGGCTTATGTCTATACCTTTAAGAACGCATATTTGGAGCTGTATGTTAAATGGGGTCTTAAGAGTAACTAATTATGTGATTTGAGTTTTAAGATAGCAGTGAAATTTTTGTAGGATATTTTAAAAAACTCTTCAATAACGTTATAATTTTTATATTTTTATTTATTTTTTTTTCAAAAGGTGATACTGAAAGCCACCGTGTGATGAGACTTTAATTCACTAAAACCATCTTTTAGGAATAATTTGTAAAATAAACACATTACTCAAATCGTGAAGAACCATTGTATTGTAAACGTATTGCGATAAATTACAATATTTGAGTTACATCGTCTGACTTTAAAAATTTAAGTCTGAGTTTTAAAAGAACAGTAACGAGATATACGAAATGTTTCATGGTGCCATTGGCCTCTAATAAAAGTAGACATAAGCTGTTGTAAGCGAAGCCAAAACACAAGATATGTTTGGCACAAGTGGTTTGACTAATGATCGCATCAATTCGTAGGCTACAATCCCTGCGACATAGAGTCACAAGAAAACTCTTTTATTTTCATTGATTTCACAAATTTGTTGTAACTGCATCCATTAAGATTTCGGCGTTATTTTTTAATTTAGATTGAATTCAACCATCAGTAGGTAGCCTCGGAACAAGTTTATGCAAGCCAAGAAATGGTTGCGATCCACCAAATAATGTATGAGAATCGGTTATTGCAAGTTCCAATGCTTTGTACACCTGATATGTTATGAAATGGTTCAGAGTTTAGTTTGCAATATAATTCTGAACTAGACACTTTTTAGTATAAAGATTTTATCAATAATTGAATTTTTTCCGAAAACTGTATTAGTGGTCTCCTGAATCCTGTGTATATGTTCCTTCAAACTCTCAAGATTCACTATAAAAAACTTGTATTAGCGTCGCATATAAAAATTTAAATAGTGCCAATCTCATTTCTTAGGTATGGGCACGAAGGGACCAGTGAGTTATTTTCCCAATAAAATGTATTCTCACCATACTTCAGTATTTATTTTAACTTTAAAATAAATATTGGAAATTTTTTTTCTATTCAAATGCATAAAGTGTATTAACATAGAAATAAATAAATATATGTGGTTCTTGTTGTAACCCGTTTAGATTTACATAGTATGAAACACGAAACACAAATACTAATATATAGCTTAAAATTTTGTACGGTGAGAACAAGAAGAGTTATTTCGGTTAACAAATGCATGTGTGAGTAGACGGATCTTAATTGCAACTAGCGGGTAACGAGGCAGAGAAACAGGACCACTTCATTGGATCGGATCCGAAATCAAAAGAGCTATAGAATCTTTTATTTGCTTATTTATTACGATGGCTACTGCTGTTGCAACATTTTCTTGGTGTATATAAATGCTTTTTAATCTGCACACTTTATGCCGAGTTGTATCATTACGTCCTTTATATTGCTTGTCTTAGTAGATCTGACAATAATATTTTACATCATAAATGCACCTCTTTTTCAAAAGGATCAATCATAATATATACTTAAATAATATTTAATACATATAATTAATTACACCTCAAAGGATTACAAAAAAAGAAAAAGTTCTAGCTTTAGAGAAGCGTTCTTATTCATCTAAAATATATAATTTATTTTTTTTATTTAACAATCAAAACGCATTTTGTAGAATTTATGTGTAATAGTATTCTAACAAAAAATATATTTGAAGAGTTGAATTTGGTTACAATATTTCTACCCAAACTACTTCGTTTACATTCCTTTATCTGCAGTTTTACATTGTTGCGAATACGGACAATCAATCAATTTACTAATTAATTAGGATATTTACTATTAAATTAACAAACAGCTCTTTGCTTCTGCTTAGCCTGTTCTTTATTGCATGCTGATATACACTTTGCCATTGTAGGGGAGGCTCTGGATACCGCATCGGTCATAAAGTAATCACGTAATTCCTTTAGTTTCACGTCAATTTTGGTGTTGTCAATCGACTTAGACTGTAAATTGAAAATGTTTTTTATTTATACTTTCGTAATAAAGTCAAAAAAGAAAACGAAAAACAAAAAAAAATCAATTATATTACAGTGGCAACTTGTTCAGCAAGTCCACTGAACGCAGCTTGGTGCAAAGTTCCGCAACGAGTCAAGTGTGGCGCTATATCCTCAATTCGATTTCGTAATTCATCAAGAGTGTCATATGGCAATGGAGTACCTGTGTACAAAATTAGTTAATAACTGTTTATGACTTTATTTATGTTGTATTTTTAGTATTTAGTTCATACAAGAAACATTTATTTTAACTTTTTTTATTTAATAATATTTTTAATATATACCTATAACTTCAGAAATTGCTCTTAAAATTTTCCAGTCCTCTCGCGCCATGCCTGGTGGAGAGACTGCCATCAATGTCTGTTGAGCACGACCTTCAGTATTAACATAAATAGCCTGTTTTTCGGTATAAGCGGCACCAGGTAATACTGCATCAGCGATTGATGCTCCATTATCACCATGATGTCCAATGTACACTACAAAACAATCCTTCGGCAACTGTTCTCTTGTAATTTTGCCAGCATCTGCATTAAGTAGAATTAAAACTTTTGGTTTCTTTTGAATTACTTCTTGTATTCCTGGTTGATAACCAACATCAAAGGCGCCAGTTTGGCCTGCATTGTTTTGCAAAACATTGAACGAATTCCAATTCTGAAAATACAAAGTACTGCAAAATTCGTAGGATATTAAACATTAAAGAACTCACTGGTTTGTTCAACTTCTTGCAATATGCTGCTACAGTCGCTAAAATTCCTTCACCATCCTTGCGTTCTAGTATATCAGCACCAATTATAATTGCGGGTTTTTTTGCTTTTTCTAAAACTTTTGAGAAATTATGTCCACCAGTACAAACGCGAGATATCATGCCAGCGTCATCGCCCAAATTTTCATGCTTATATGACAGGTCAACTTTTGGCCCAATTGAAGCAATTTCTAATTCATTATGGACATATGACTTGCGTAAACGTGTATTGACTAGCGGTGCCTCATAACGTGGATTTGTACCAATAAGTAAAACTGCATCAGCTTCCTCCAAACCTAAGTATGAATTATTTATTACTGAATTTCAGATTTATTGTTCTTTTATTACCTGCAATTGTTGAGTTACAAATGTAGTTAGCACGTAAATCGGTACTAGCACCTTTATTAGGAAACCCTTGTTCAGTAACTAAAGTTTCAGCTCCGTTGCGGTTCAGCAAATCCTTAGCGGCAACCATTGCTTCAACATCTGCAAGTTGACCAGCTACAGCTGCAACAGAACCTTTAGCATTTTTAATGGCTTTCGCAACAGCAATTAAAGCTCCTTCCCATTCTACAGCTTGTAATTCTCCATTCGGTGCGCGAACCATTGGTGCAACCAAACGCTGACGTTTTAAACCATCACAGGCAAAACGTGATTTATCTGCTAACCATTCTTCATTGACATCATCATTTTCGCGAGGCAAAATTCGTAAAACTTCATTTGTGCGTGTACTAACAACAATGTTACTACCAACAGCATCCAACACATCGATAGTACTTATCTTGCGTATTTCCCAAGGACGCGCTACAAAACTAAAATATAAACATTTTTTTTAGTTATTTTCAAAAAAAAATATATATATATATATGTTCACCTATAGGGCTTATTGGTAAGCGCACCAACTGGGCACAAATCAATGATGTTTCCTGATAATTCCGTTAGGAACATTTTTTCAACATATGTACCAATTTGCATATCATTTCCTCGGCCAGTAGTGCCTAAGTCATCTACACCCGCAATTTCTGAAGCAAACCGAACGCAGCGCGTACAATGTATGCAACGTGTCATTATAGTCTTTACTAAAGGCCCAATGTCTTTGTCTTCAACAGCTCTACAATTCGAATTATAATCAAATTAACAATTTTAAAACACTGATAAGATATATTATTTTATAATATAGAAACCTTTTTCCGGTATGATTTATATCAGTAAAACGAGATCTATCCGATCCAAATGCCATTGCTTGATCTTGTAAGTCACATTCACCACCTTGATCACAAATAGGACAATCCAATGGGTGATTCATAAGTAAAAATTCCATAACACCTTCTCGTGCCTTTCGTGTCATTTCAGAATTTGTTTTAATCCTCCAACCTTTCATAACAGGCATTGCACATGCTGCAACTGGTTTGGGACTTTTTTCTACTTCTACTAAGCACATACGGCAATTACCAGCTACTGCCAAACGTTCATGGTAACAGAAGCGAGGAATTTCAACACCTACAACAGCTGCAGCCTGCATATGTGTACATATATAAATCAGCAAAATGTTAATATAAGAAATGTGTACACACCTGAAGCACAGTGGTGCCTGGGGCTACTAGCACGGGAATGTCATCAACGAATACCTCTATCTTCTCTGGAGCTTTTGCAGGTGTCTGTGCCAAAGCAGCACTGGTGCGTACCGCCTTGCTCGAAATGCGATGAGTAGGCGAGCCAAATGTGCCCAAAGCTTTAATAAGCGGTGCACGGATCATTTTTCTGAAATCACACAGTTGATTAATTGTAGTGACAATTTATAATTTTATTTTGCCGTCTTAACTAAAATATTGATCTTGCAAAAATCTTTTAATTACATAAGCTTGGTCAACCGCAGATAGCTTGTGCAAAGAACTACATTTCGATAGTTATTTTCTTGCCATAATAGTTTATTACTTTTTGCATTAGAAGTTTAAATACATTTTTATTATTTTCCATTAATTAAACTTACCAAAAATGCAGTAATATCTGCAATTTTAACAGAAGTTATAGCACAAATTTACCAGCGCAAGTTAGCAATGTTGTTGGAAAACACAGGGCTGTATTTACAAAAAAATTAAAAAAAAATAATATTTTCGTTAATATAAAATATTGCAACAGTTTAAACTATGTTTACACTGTCTCATTTGAGCACTTGCTCATTTATATAAATGAGGAAGCGTTTACTTTATAATGAGCTCATTTATGCAGCTAATAGAACTTTTATATGTCAAAAAAGCTATAAAAATCTTTTTTGTTTACAAATAAAACACAAAGAAATATTTCGGTATTGTGTAAAATAAATATTTTAAAATGGGAAACGCAGAAAATTTAAAACATATTATATATAAAGTCTGTGAAATTATTAATAATAGAAAGAAAGCAATATTTGAATTTGCATGCACCGAAAAATATACTTGAAATAAGAAAAAAGCAAATAGCAATAGTATCTACACTAAAATTGCTAGGAACCGGTGGAAGTCCTGGACTTTGGTTAGTATGACCATGATTATTAAATAAAGTTAAAAATTAACATTTCCGTTTTGCAGAAAAGAACAAATAAATTCTGGGAAGTGAATTGACAGAAAAATGGTCCAAATATTTTAAAAATAAAAAATATTTTTGGCATGAATTTGGAATGTTTTAAGTAGTTATGTGAGTTGTTGAAAGAATTACAGAAAAAATTTACAACCTTTTGGATTTTCATTTCTTTAGAAAAGAAAATTTCCATTCCTTGGGTCGTCGGCTGGATACAGAAGCGTAGCAAATCTGTTTAGCGTTAGCAAGTCGACTGGAGGTGTGGAAAATTCTTTCATCCATGTATATGAATGCATTCCCATTAACAAGCGACAAGATGAATAAGTATATCAGAGCATTTGAGGTTCTTGGTTTTTCACAATGTTTAGGTGCAATGGGTAAGTTCTCAATTTACTTTTACTGAAACATTTTAATTGTAAAAAACACTAAAGAAGGAAGTCACATTGAAATAAAATTAGAATCTCAGAGTGCTGTTGACTACTACAACTACAAGGGCTGGTACGCGATGGTTTGCAAAATTTCAATAAACGCACAAATATATTTTACTGTTTATTTATAGAAGAGTCAATCCTGGAAGAGTCAATGACTCTTTTATTGGTCTAGAGGACAAAAGCAGGGTGATTAATGATGTCAAAATAACCGTCTTGATCTTGATGTTATGAAATCATACCATTGCGATGAAAACGCTAGCATTGGTCAAACAACTTTTAACTACCAATTATCTAAATGTCGAAGAGTGTTTAAAAATATTTTTTGGCAGCTTAAGACATGGTTTCGCAGAATAGGGAAGGGTCATTGACAACATAATTGAAAACGCAAACAGCATTATACGATTCGGCTGTGTTCTTCACAGATTTTTAAATGAAAAGAATGATGTAGTGAAAAAAAGTTGGGTACGTACTCTGAAAGCACGACAGCTAGTTTCAGAACGACAACAACTAGAAGTGTCATTATTAAATGACGGCGATCTAAATGGAGAGGAAATAGGACGATGTTTACTACATTTTTTAGTCAGTTTTATTAGAAGTTAACCAAATCCTAATATTTAATTTTATAGCACTAAACAATTTAATCTAAATATCGTAAATATTTACAAAAAAAAATAAAGCAACTTAATCTAACTAATAATGATAATAATAATTATAAGCTTTGTAATGTTATTAATAAATAATTATAAACTATATAAAACTATTAATTATAATATATAATAACAGTTGACCGCATCAAAAATGCCGTTATCGCTGGAGTCATTGTCTCTAGAGAGCTGGATATACGAAAAGCTCATTTTCATTGATGACACGATACGCGACAAAGCAACATTGCTTGCTTGTATTAAATTTAAAAATCCTGCATCTGTGCGTTTCTCCAGCTTCATGTCACGGTTCTTCATATCTGTCAGATTCATTTATTTTTTTTACAGGTGTTTCAGAAACTTCCGACGTAGATATTGGATCTGCCAATGCATGTGGAGATAATATTGGATTTATCGAATGGAGTATGGCGACAGCAACGATGCATCATGACGGGCTCTGGTCTGATTAATAAACACATTCATTATTTTGAAAAACTTAAACAAATTTGTGAAAACTCACCTGCAATACTTTCAAACACTAATTTTGTAGTGTTATATATGGGCAAATTGTCTAGAAATCTCTTTAATATATAGAAGTACTTCCAGTCGGATGGCGCTCCTCCCGAAGCTCCAACACACTGCTGTTCTTTCCTAAAGCTCTTTATTTTAAACAAACAAGCAAATTAATAAAAATAAATAAAAATATTAACAAAATTACATTTTAATCTCTTTTTATTATATGAAAGTACATAAAATAATAAAAAATAAAACAGTTTCAATGCACAAATTATAATTGTAATTTTCAATTTCACTTATGAAATACTTATCTAAATCTTTGTGTAAAGTTGTGGGCCTTCGTTTGCACTTCTAACGAAGTGACCAGAAAACCCCTATTCTGAAATTCTGTGCCTATCTCATTAAAAATATGTGCGTTCCGTCAGGCACCCCGTAATTGTGGCAATCTTTCCTCCCATATTTCCAAAAAGTGCCTTTCAGCACTTTCCGACAAGACATTTCTCCTTCTCTTCATTTTATGTGTCTGAAAATAATATTTGATTAAATTATTCTAAAATCAATTATTTAAATATGTATTGCATATATAATTTATGAAAACAAAAAATTTTATTAAATACAAGTACGTACTTTTTTTTGCCATTGACTTGAATCCATCTGATACAAACAAACTTCACTTAATAATATATCTCACTAAAAATTTAAATATATAATTGATATAATTGATCAATTACATATTCAAAATTAATAAAAACAGTTCACTTTCTTAGTGTACTTGTTTTAACCATTCATTAACCATACACAGAGCTTCGTGCTTTTTCACTT